ATATATATATATATATATATATATATATATATATATATATATATGCCCTCTGCTCTAGAGTAACTTAAGACAATATTTTTTAAACAATTAAGTAGTTATTTCAAGTTTATATTATGAACATCTATTTTTGTATGAACACTTAACAAATATATGCAATAAAAAATTTTAAAATGAAAATATATGAATATAAATGATTACATTTTTAGTAAGATCTTAAAAGGTATATTTTTGTTTCTCTATTTTTAAGTGTTGTTTTAGGCAGCCTTTCTAGTTCTGATGATAAAAGGATTGAAGATTTTTTGTTTTACTCACTTTTAAATTGTCTTAATGCAAAGGTTTCAGTCTAGTTTTTGTTGAATTTAGGGGGAAAAAATGTTTTTCTTTATTATCTGACTGTATACAAATTAAACCTCTCACAAATATCAACAAGGTAATACAAAATAATTAAATGTAGGCATTAAGACTTAAAAATAATAATTTCAGACTCCTTTTCATGATTTCATTTAGTTTGTTTAATACATACAGAGCATAGTGGCTTAAAATGGTATTGAGTCAAAAGTTTGAATATTTATATATATATATGTGTGTGTGTGTGTGTGTGTGTGTGTGTATGTGTGTGTGTGTGCATGAGTATTTTTTTTCTTATATTTATCACAAATAAAGGTCAAGATATTAATCTTTTAACTAGATCTCAAACAATAATCTTTTTCTGACAACACAATCACTGAATATCACACATTTGTTTGATTATTAATTTAAACAGAAAGAATATTGCAAAGTTGCAAATTTTTAAAACAATTATAAGTTGAATTTCTTACATATCATATAACACCTTTTTACCTTCAAGTCCTGCATTTAAGTAGGTTCTACCACTGATCTTATCAATAAAAATACATATTTAAAAAAAAAAAGCTAAATGACTTTTCTTGCTAATAAACTTTCTGATATGGAACTACTATTCTAAAAAAAATAAGGCTGATGAATTGGTAAATTCTGTTATAGTTTTAGTAGAAGAGGACCAGACAGACTCTGCACCACCTGAATCAGCTGCAACAATAACATCCTGATTACAGATTGATGCATTAATAATTCAACACAAAATCAATCCTTAAAAACAAGGACACTAACTGTCTGCTTTAGAGGCAGATTGAGATTTTGGTTTCAGTTTTTTAAATTCAACGTTTTCTGTCATCCTTCTGTACATCTTTACTATATTTGTTAAACTTCTCATTTAAACTGCAAGCATCTAATCAATGAAGGAGAAGATTTCTCTTCACCTCGGTTTGTAGGTTCTGTAAAAATGGATGGTAAAACTTTTCTTCAAAAGCTTTGGTTAAATCAATAAAAAGTTGAATCCTGACTTTAAATCTTAGCCTGACTCTAGTTTCCGTGACTGCAGAACATTAAGTTCTTGTATCAAAATGAGCTTATTAGCAACCAGAAAACAAGTTTTGTTAACAGTTCATCTGAGTCTATATAGAATAAGAAAACATCTAAGATAGTGTGTAAAGGTTTTAAATCATTTCCTTACTTTTTACATGCCAGTAATCCTTTAAATTGCTCTTGATCAATAGTTCTTCATTTTTTCTGTAAGCTTTTTTTTTTTGCTCAACAAATATAGAGCTCTGTGAATAAATGTTTGCATCTTTTCAGTATTTTTTTTCTTATATTTTTATGACACAGTTGTTTTTAATTTATAATTTTACCTCAACACAATCACTGAATATCACATATTTGTTGGATTATTAATTTAAACAGAAAGAATATTACAAAGTTTTTAATTTATAATTTTACTTATCAGGGTATCAAGTTATCCAAACCAACCTATGTGCGTAAAACAACTAAATCTTCTGCTTTAAACCCTAAAATAAATGTAATTTACATGTTTTGGAAGGCCGAATTCAAATTCACTGGCCACATGCTGGCCTGATTACGTTCCAGATTCAAGAAATCAACTAAACTGAACCTGTTTGACATTAAGAAGTAGGCCAAATGATTTTAAAGAGCAACACAAATCTAAGAAACAAGTTACTTGATAGATATTGGTCAGGAAACGGTAGCATCAGGTGGTGCCACTAATAAGGACGACCCATTTCCAGAAGAGACCATTTACCAAATATACTCTTAGATCACTTCAATGTCCATTCCAGGATATCATAAATAATCAAGAACTGCATTCAAAGTTCTACAGGCGTTGTTTTGCTAAGCTATAGACTGTGTTCATTCTTCAGTCAGAAAGTGATTGGGGAAATAAATATGGCAGTTTAAAGGGTAGTGTCATGCAAAGAATAAAACATGGTGGTGTAGTTCAGGACCTGTATGACTGATAATGAGCTCTTCTTTCTACCAGAGACACGCCATGCACACGTGTTTTGCTGAAGGATAGTAATCAAAAGAATACCAGGTCCACCATTAAATGACTCCAGGATTAAAAAACAAACAAAAAAAAAAGTAAAAAGAGGGTTTAGGGGTAGCGACCACTCGAACTCTAAAATCCTATCCAACTGATTCCAGACCGTTTGTGTTCAAAAACCCTTCAGTGTATCTTAATCTAAAATAGTCTGCAAAGAAGATTGGGTCATTATTTCTCCATAGAGACTTATTTCTTCACAGATGTTTATCATAAACACTATCCGCAGGTGTTGCTACCTCAGGCATAAAAATTTCCTGTAAGGATGTGGAATATTAGTGTGAGCTACCTGTGGCAGGGCGATAGACAGCTGCCTCTGCAGGGACTCCTTCTCGTGACCAAGCTCTCGTAGACGAAGGTGCGCCGTCCCCAGACTATCCTGCGTCTCCCTCAGGCTCTCCAGCAGCCTTTCCCTCTCCGTCAGCATGTTCACCATCAACGACTCCAAGTTGCCCGTACTTCCCCCTTCGTCACTCCCTCCTCCTCCACCGCCGCTGCCTCCACTGCGGAGATCTCGACTTCCGTAGCCTCCTATCCCACCGCCCATCCCGCCTGCACCACCCGCTGGAGAGGACGAGCCCCCTCCTCCTCCGCGCCCATCCTCTGAGATGGTGGGCATCACCTCGCACATCATCGTGACGCCTGGGAGTGAGAGGAGATGTCACAGGGGATGTCTAGGATGGTCTGCTGAAGACCTTCTTTCTCCTCATGAAAAGTGCAGCAGCCAGTATCTCTTGGTTGCTGGGGGGGGCTATTCTCTCAGGGTGTGAGGGAAATTTGGGAGGAAAAGTAGGTGGAATGGATTGAAGAAGGGTAAGAGTGTGAGGACTAGGGATTGGGAATCAGGGTGAAGTGGGGAGCAGGGATGAGAGGGACAGATGTGGGTTTTTAGTGAGAGACCTCTGACCCCTTGGCTCCAAGGTTTATTTGGGTGCCAGATGAACCTGGAAAGAAGAAACACGAAGGTTAGTAATTTTTAAAACAACAGAAAGCATTAGGAGTGGAAGCAGTGGCTGATGTTATACTATTACCATTGTTCTTGATATCTTATATGCACAAACACCAAAGCAACATTTTGTATATTGGACAGTAAGATTCGTGGTTTAAGTCATCCAGAGTACAACAACTTTTGACTGCTGCGATGTTGTTATGCTTTACACTTGAAGTTATGTTGAAATTCAGTCACATATCATCCATTCTACAATGTGATATAGCTAAGTAAAAGTCCTTCAACATTGCATAGTGCTCTGCACTCTGGTAAAAAAACCTTTGACTTTAGGGGTACCGGTAATTTAAGTTGGTTTATGACAACTTATTTCCTAGACGAATGAAAAGCACAGATAAGAAAATTTAATAAGTAATCCCCTTAACAAAAAACTGGGGGGAAAAGGCATTATATATATATATAAACTACCGTTGAAAAGTTTGAGGTCACTTTGAAATGTCCTTATTTTTAAGGAAAATCTCTGTACTTTTCAATTAAGATAACTTTAAACTAGTCTTAACTTTAAAGAAATACGCTCTATACATTGCTATTGTGGTAAATGACTATTCTAGCTGCAAATGTCTGGTTTTTGGTGCAATATCTACATAGGTGTATAGAGGCCCATTTCCAGCAACTATCACTCCAGTGTTCTAATGGTACAAAGTGTTTGCTCATTGGCTCAGAAGGCTAATTGATGATTAGAAAACCCTCATGCAATCATGTTCACACATCTGAAAACAGTTTAGCTTGTTACAGAAGCTACAAAACTGACCTTCCTTTGAGCAGATTAAGTTTCTGGAGCATCACATTTGTGGCGTCACTTAAACGCTAAAATGGCCAGAAAAAGAGAACTTTTATCTGAAACTCAACAGTCTATTCTTGTTCTTAGAAATGAAGGCTATTCCATGTGAGAAATTGGTAAGAAATTGAAGATTTCCTACAACGGTGTGTACTACTCCCTTCAGAGGACAGCATAAACAGGCTACTGCGGGTACTATTTAATGAAAATGCCAGTTGGGGACCTTTGAGGCGTCCGTTTCTCAAACTAGAGACTCTAATGTACTTATCTTCTTGCTCAGTTGTGCAACGCGGCCTCCCACTTCTTTTTCTACTCTGGTTAGAGCCTGTTTGTGAGTCCTCTGAAGGGAGTAGTACACACCGTTGTAGGAAATCTTCAATTTCTTAGCAATTGAAGCAGTTTAACGAGGAGCAGTTTAAAACTTCCATTGTTTCAACGATAAGCATTAAAACTTATTCTTGTTATTCCAAGAGGCTAACCAATGCTAACCATATTATTTTCAGTTTAGGCAAATGATGAGAGAAAAACAAAAAATACTAAAGCTGTTATTAAGATGCTGCTTGTTTCCATAAACATAAAGCTAATTTACAATGACGCAAAAATAGCTTTAAAAGAAAAAGAAGGACTTAAGTAAGCAGTTAATTTATATATATATTTTATATAACTTATTTATACACGTCACTTACAAATTATACAAAAACTAGTAAAAAAGTGCAAAATACATAAAATGATCTAAGAAAAGAAGGAAATTGTTCAAATAAGTGTATTTACATTTAATTTGTGCAGGTACATTAGAAAATCTGCCATTAAAAATATTTTTTTTTCCCCATTTAATAAGATAACAGATTTTAGTTATTTAATTTCTGTTTGGGGTTATTTTTGAACAGATTTGAATTATGCATTTCAAATTAGATAATGGAGTTACTTTGTCTTATTTTAAGCATAAATCATCTTATCCCATTTGAAATTGTCTTACTTTCCTGTTCAAATTGAGGGAAAATGCACTTGTTTCAACAACAATGGACTGATATATATTTCAGTCTTTGCAGTGTAAGCTATTTGCTTTTTGCTATTTGGACAGAAGATGGAGGCAAAGTGTCATCAGCCCTTACAGAGGAGGAAAAAATGAACACTGCTTCGAATAAAGCACTGATTGCTTTAGCACTGTAGCTCAGCTGCTACAGGAAGTTAGAAAAAAACTTTGTTAAAAACCGTGATTGATTCATTTTTTTTCCTTTTTTAAAGTTAAATATTCCCAAAATATACATTGAACGAATCAGAGAGAAAAACATAAGATAAACTATAGATGGAATAAATGATCAATGTTTAAAATAAGAAAACAAAAACATCTCCATTATCATTTTTCAATTACATATTTTTAATGATCTTACTTTAAGTAAAAACATCCTAATTCCTTTGGAAGACCAGATTATCTAACTGCTCAATTTAAGGGAAAATTCACTTACTTGACAATATTTTTACTTGTTTATATCAGCTTTTCATTGTAACTTGAAACCAATTATTCAATCGTAAGAGCCGGCTACGAGGGCTCAGGCATCTGGTCACAGCTTCTGCAGGAGCTTTGGAGTTTTTCTGGCCATGTTCCCTGGGCAGGATACCACAGGCAGAATCAGAATTTACTGTAAGGATAGATTTTTTTGTAACTTGTGGCATTTGAATCTCCCAGAACAATAGAGAGTGTTTCTAGGACAGTGATTTGTGGGTTTTTCTTCTGTATTTTTGAAATGACTGTTATAGTAACTGTTATCAGGACATTTTGATAAATTTGCTGAGGACTAATGGGAATTTGTCTGATCTAATTTGCTTTATCAGTGACTTGTATTCTGTCAGTCCTGGTAAAACGTTTTTTTTTTTATTGAAGCATAGTGCATGGTGTTTTCAACACTGCTACCTTGCAGTCAGAACATCCAGGAATGTGTTTTCCTAGTACCCCAGCTGCATCCTGCAGCATGGGTGGTTCTAGACAGGAGCCAACAGGGGCCACTCCCCCTGTTTAATTGGTCCTGGCCCTTGTTATGGCGCCATGTGCAGAAGACATAATACTAAATAAATTGATAATAAATGTATTATGATATGCAGTCACTGGAAGAGAAACTGCAACCAATAGGTCCCTTGAAACAATTTTATTCATTATTATTTTTACAGTTTTATTTTATTTATGATTTAAGAATTACCCAAACTGTTGCCATGGCTTTTTGTTTTATTTATTTGCTCAGAGTCCCCATGGGGAAAAAAAAAACTGCTGTGCCCAGCCACTCTGGTAAATCTGGTCTAGAACCACCACTGTCCCACAATCCAATGATTGCTACCAGAGGCAGCTCTAGAAAATGTTAATTGGGGTGGCCTGGCAGGGACTGATTTGCATGGAGAGGTCCCAGGGACAAACACAAAAACAGTTTCGGGTCAATCTATACTGATCACAATGAACCAACATAAAAACCAAGATGAACAACATCCATATTTTCCAAATAAATAATTAAAAACAGAGCAGATTTTCATGACGTGTTTCAGAGGCGTGACATCACGAAGTTTTCTACCCAACGACCGCCAAATTGACTGAGCTTAGCTCTGTGGCTCGGCCCACTGACCAGAATGGATCCTTCTCATTTAAATGCCCATGTGCTTAAATTATACACAGAGTAAATGGATGAGATCCATACAAAGTCTGTTTTCAGGACACTACCTACCATTAACAGGCTTTCCAATTTTTCCTTTCACAATGTATACATATAACTTATACACAACCTGTCCTCATACACCAGAGGAGGTATGTGTAGAACATTCCAGTAGTTGCAGATTCTGCTTCACACACACATATATATATATATATATATATATATATATATATATATATATATTAGAAGTAGGTGTTATGAGTATTTCCTTGAGAAAATAAGTGTGCACATTTACCAACTTGTTCCAAATGAATGCATAGTTTATGTTATATTTCACATATTATATAATCATACCAGGGTACAGGTTTCTTTATTATCATTCCTGGTCTACATACTGTGTGTCCGTGTAAGCAAAAGTGGTCAAAAATCTTTTAAGAGCACAGATGTTGATTCATAGTTGGCTGGAATATTGGCATCTGAAGAACAAGAAAATATTCCTATGATAAATTAAATAAGCTGCATTCGGCTGATCTTAATGCTTACTGATTAGGGATGGCTATGGCCCCCATGTCCCTTCCCTAGGTCCGCCCCTGATTGTCACTCAAATTGCACTTAGAAGTGATATGTTTGTCTGTATTGGTTTATCATGTGTTGTGTGATTTACTGGCAACCTTTCTCACTCATGGCCACTTGAGATATGCACCTCCATCCCCATTGTGGATAAGCAGGAATAGAACATGGAAACTGATTTGATTTCTCTATAACTTCCCTGGAATAACTTTTGGTTTATTTATAGATCCAGCTGCAGGTTGATGGTAGACTACTGAATGAACTGATGAAGCAATGCTTCTTATACCACCTCCCTCTCCTCCCTAATGTGGATCCATCCAATTCTGTCATACCAAAAGGAACCAAACATTTCCCCTTTTCCCCCAAAACCCTCAGAGGTAGAACAACCACTGCTGTTGCAGCAGGGCTGTCTCTCTCTCTCTCTCTCTGAATTACTCTGGACTGATGAACTATCTTGGTTGTCAGAACCTTCTGTATCTCAGCTTCCATACTCATAAATGCGCATGATGAAATCATTTACGCAAAGACAGAATAACTGTCAGGCCTGCAGGTTAGGGTAGAAATATGCGCTCATGTGGATGGAAGGGAACAGTGGTGTCTGTAATTACCGGCTGTTCAAAGCCTATTTGAACCCATTTCAAACGTTCCCAGCATCCATCTGTAAAGATATTCTGCAGGCCTTTATTCTACGGTGAGACGAGACAGAAAAATTAAAAAAAGCTGTCTTGGGGGAAATAAACGGAACAAACATCGTGCATTTCCGTGGAAGGTAGCCGAACATCACATCATGGTGGGAGGTGCCAATCATGCTGTAAATGATGCAGGCCTAATTAATAAGATTACACCAGAAGATGTCACACCTCTGGATTCATCTGTGCGGATGACATTTATGTAAGTGGCAGCTTTGCATTTATTCCAACATTAAGATGCATATCACCCATCAACACCCCCCCC